ATTCGCTTATACCCATAGTGGACTTGTTTTCGTCTCAAGGTTTGAATTTGATGTTCAAATGTTATTCGTAGAATTTGTAACGAAAAACTACATCTTGTGGTGACGACCCATGTGGCGGTTTTGGCCTTTCGGTAGCCCGGTTTTTGGAGGCATAGTCACACGAAAGTTGTACATGCTGTGGCTCTCCTTTTCTGTGGGCCAGCAAAGCGCTTTCGCGTCATCAATTTTCATACGAACAATAATGTTTGTGCTTCATAGTAAAGCATAATATTAAGATATCAAACTTTTGCACAAAATCGGAAGTTTTGAAATAAGTAAACATTAGAACGCCTTTCAAATTCAATTAGTCGAACCTTAATGGAAGAAGATGCATCAGAGTGGAGGCTAAAAAGGCGTCCACACATAATAAGTATTCAGCGTGCTTTAAAATAGGTTTGCCATCAATAGCATCAATCCAGTTGTGGTTTTGGTTGCCACCATTCCTAATCCAACTTAAACCCTCAAATACCTCAATTGTTTAGCGGGCCCTTCCTACGACTGACGGTGTTGCATACGTCTAGTCTTTTCAAATAATGATGTCTTTGAGCTGAATATCTCGCTTCAAATTGACTAAACAGAGTTCATAATTGCGATTAGCTGTATTAAACCCTGCGCTAATCTTCAAACCTAAGCGAGTTTTTAGCAAACTAGGTTGTTTGTAACGTAATAAATTCATTCCTCTTAAATTTTTCAGTGTGCTTGCATTACGGAAACATCTACTTTCTAACGCCTTTTCGCAAAACAGGAATAGAGCAAGGAAGTGCGGGCAAATACTCCTTAGATAATATCGAAGGGGCTGCGAGAAGACCATGCAAACTCACTATTTTTTTGTCATTCAAGGAGCAAATATACGTACCCTTTTTTGTTCATACTTTATGGCCAATTTCAGACGATCTAACCGCAACGGCGGAGCCTCTATCTCCATCTCACTTTCATCAATATCATTTTCATTCTGCAATTTATCTTCTCTGTCAAAAATCTCGTCCAAATCAGTCTCTATCTTGTCCCTAACCGCCTCCGCTTTCGCTTTCATTTCACCATCTTCCTCAAGATACATTTGTTCCTTGTGATTTTCCAAATTTGTCAAATCCTCCACAATTGTGTACTGGCTTTCTAAGCGTTTAGTTGGTCCCAATCGTGTGGCTTCCAAGTCATTTAATTCAAAGGAATTGTCAACATGGAGGGGTGGTCCGTGCCAACGCCTAGGTGGTCTGTGTGTCACTGTAGTGGTTCGTCGGAGAGCCGATTTCTCCACACGTCCTGTTCCATCTTCCCCTTCTTCATTGCTCTCGCTGTCACATATGCCAACATCTTCATCATCTGAGGATCGACTTAGGACCGCTAGAACCTCCTCCTTGCTTCGACATTGGTCCAAGAGGTCACAGGCGTACTTCTTACATTGATCGGAGAGTTGTAGAAACACTTCCTTGAACTCATTCTCCCTTGATGCTAGATGATTTAACTCCCAAGAGAGCTTAAATGCTGCCAGAATCGGATCTGGTGATGTAAGAGAAATCCATGCTGGACTCGCAAGTGCGCGATAAGTGTTAATTCGCCATAGAGAATACTTTAAAGAATCCTCTTTGTACATTGCCGCACAGTCACCGCAACTGCAGTTTGATCTGTGTGGTCTTTCAATACGCGCGCCACGGGATAGAAGTAACTGGAGTATCTCAAACTGATTGCAGATAGATGCCAAAATAACTGGCGAAATGTCCGCCGAGAAATCGTGGCTCTCTTCTGAAAGGCCATTCCTCTTTGACCACGAAGTCCCTAACATTTCTTTTGTAATGGAATGGTGATCAATAAGCATTTCCACAATGCGATACACACCTTCTTGTACGGCGTATAGAAGTGCGTCTCCTATCCTTATGTTCGGTTCTTTAAGTAAGAGCTCCACAATTTCAAAATTCTCGTTATCCACCGCAATCTGTATAGCGGTTCTGCCAAGCATGTTTGTACAATTTACATTCACGGGATGAGAACATCTAAGGCACCGGGCAACCGTGGATTTATCACCTCGTTCCACAGCGTCAAGAAAGATTCTCGAAAGGGGATCCGCTTGGCCTGATTCTTTCACGAAGTTAGACGAATATCGACCGAAGCGATAGGTGGGTGGAATTGAACGATGGCCGGTTGTGTTGTTGCTTTCATTGTTGTCGTTGATAGTCCCCGAAGAACAGCTACGATCAGGAGAGTGAGAGAACCAGTCATTGGGGTTGGAGCGAACAGGAGGCAGTGGTAAGACCTTTTGATCTGTGCCCTCTCCAAAATCGGGTATTTCTTTTGTTTGAAGAGAGAGCTTGCCCGAGAATCGCGAGGGCATGGTCTCAGTTTGTTGATATCGGTGGGAGTTATTCCGACCGACCTTTGAGGTTCCAAGACTTACGGAGAAGGATGGCGAACGACGCCTGCTTACTGCCTCGTTTAGCCTTTTGTCTGGTGGATGCACTAAGGTGTTCTTGCCTCCCGTATCAGAAGTCACACTGCTCTCGTTGGAGTGAAAGTTGCCTGAGCCTGTACTACTGGGATTTGTGGTCGCCATAATAAGGCGATTTGGTGGCGCTAAAAGGGAAGATTGAGGATTACGATCTTATAAAGCGGAAGGCTAATGCCACTTAGAAGGGGTTCTGGTTCTTCTGTTTACGCTACCAAAAATCATAACAAGAATTTGTAGATGTTAGTCTGTGTTCGCGAACACACACCTGATTGGTCGCGAGTAAAGGAGCAAGTGATTGGCTGAGTAGTACTAGAAACATGAATCCCAAAAATTACTTACATGTATTTCCTAGAATGCTTTGCCTGTAATACAAGTATTGCCTGATTGGAAAACAGCATTGATGTATTCATCAATGTTATTTTGTCAAATAATGAAAAAATAGGTGGCCAGTTAACTCGTAGCGAATGCACTTCTGACAATTAATTGCATTATTAAGCACAATAATTTGCGTAATGTATGAG